TCAAACTCTCACTCCCTGCAGCAGAAGCACAGTCTTAACCCCTGGACAACCAGGGAAGTCCCACGCGTTGTTCACTTTTTAATCCTTTTATGGTGGGTGTGTGTGTGTTAGTTACTCAGTTGTGTCTCTTTGCGACCCCACAGACTGTAGCCCACCAGGCTCCTCTGTCCGTGGAATTCTCCAGACAAAAATACTGGAATGAGTAGCCATTCCCTTCTCCAGGAGATCTTCCCAGCCTAGGGACTGAACCTGGGTCTCCTGCATTGCAGGCCTAGATTTCACCTAAACTAATTGTTAAAGAGCCGAAACGACAGCAAAACATGTCTGAATCCTTTAAACACTGCCTTGAATATCTGGCTTTGTCTAATTGAAAAGAAATCTTGATCAGAAGATAGCCAATAATGCCTGCATTTTTAAAAGTTCAGTGTTTCTAGGAAAGTTCTCTAGAAACAAGAAAAGAAAGTAGGAAGCATATTGATTATGGTTCCCAGCCCAGAGCACGGGTCTTTATGTGGTTTTGTTAGGTACACGCCCAGAGGCCCCTGGCGTCCGGGCGCCCTGAAGAACCTAGCTCATCACCACAAGGGGTGAAGAAGAGGGGGTTATTTCTTAATCTCCCACCTTTGAAGCTGGTGGAATTATCCCCATTTTATAGATGAGAAGACTGAGGTCAAGAAGATGGAAGGATGCATTGGTCCTGACATACCCCCTTGAGCCTGCCTTCCCTTCCTTTACAGGCTGTGAGCACCAAGGAAGCGACCCTGCCTGACCTGGAGTCATCTGTCTGTCTTTCCATCTGTCTCTGCATCCAGCCACCTCTCCACAGAGCTGAGACTTGACCCCAGAGCATCTCTGCAGAGTGAGGAAAGGACTAGAACATGCTCTAAAGTCCTCAGCAACAAGACCCAGGGAACTGCGAGCTCAGCCCACAGCCTGAAGGTAGGAAGCTGGGTAGCCGAGTGGCATGGACCCCAGCTACCAGCTGCTATCCTTGCTTGCTTATCTGACTTTCAACAAGTCTGTGCTGATGCTACCCGTGGGCCAGCACTCCACTGACGGTAGAGATGCAGCTGTGAATAAGGCAGAAAGAGGGAGACAAGCAGGGTGAAGTGATGGAGAGACACATGGGGTGGGAGGGGTGCTTCCTCAGGCAGTCAGGGAGGGCTCCTTGGAGGAGGTGGTGCTCAAACTGGGACCGGAATGACGAGAAGGAGCCGCATGCTGTGCGCAAGTGCTAATCTGATCTGGGGAGAGCCGGCAGGGTCCCAGCCAGAGGCCCAACGTTTATGGAGCACGTACTTGTAACTTTTTTTTTTAACTGCCTTTATTGAGGTATAGTTCACATTTGATTTATACAATTCATGTAAAATTCATCTACTTTAGGACATTTTCATCATCTCAGAAGGAAACCCCCATCCTTTAGCTGTCACCCCCAGCCCTAAGCCATGACTCATTCTTCTGTCTCTCTGGATTTGCCTCCTCTGGACTTGCATTTGGACCCCTGGAGTATGTGGTCTATTTGTGTCTGGCTTCTTTCATTTAGCCTAACGTGCTCCAGGTTCATCTGTGTTTAGCCTGGCTCAGCGAGTCATTCCTCTTCGTGGCTGAGTAATAGTCCCTTGTGTGGATTTAGTACATTTTGTTTACCCATTTATATGTTTTATTTCCCCAAAGATTATAGTACACTTTTTAAAAAACTTTTATTTTATATTGGGCTATAGTTGATGTATCATGTTGTGTTAGTTTCAAGTGTACGGCAAAGTGATTCAGTTATACACGTACATATATCTATCCTTTTTCAGGTTCTTTTCCCATATTGCAGAATTTTTTTTTTTAATTATGCTGGGTCTTCATTGCTGTTCACGGGCTTTCTCTAGTTGTGGAGAGAAGTGGCTACTCTCCGTTGTGGTGTGCGGGCTTCTCTTTGCGGTGGCTCCTCTCATGGTAGAGCACAGGCTCCAAGCGCACAGGCTTCAGTAGTTGCAGCGCGTAGGCGCGATGGTTGTGGCTCGGAGGCTCTAGAGTGCAAGCTCAGAAGTTACGGTGCACCGACTTAGTTGCTCCGCGATATGTGGGATCTTCCAGGACCACGGTTCAAACCCGTGTCCCCTGCTTTGGCAGGTGGATTCTTATCCACGGTGACACCAGGGGAGACCCATTGCAGAATGCTGAGCAGACTTCCCTGCGCTATAGGTAGGTCCTTGTCGATTGTCTATTTTGTATATAGTAGTGAGGAAGGAAGGAAGGGGTGTGTGCTCAGTCATATCCGACCCTTTGCAACCCTGCCAGGCTCCTCTGTCCATGGCATTTCTCAGGCAAGAATGCTGGAGTGGGTTGCCATTCCCTTCTCCAGGGGATTGTCCCAACCCAGGGATCGAACCCTTGTCCCATGAGTATCCTGCATTGTCAGGAGCATTCTTTACCTTTATGCCACAGGGAGCCGCAGGTATAGTAGTGTGTATATGTTAATCCCAAACTCCTAATTTATCTCTCCCCTTTTCCACTTGTATTTTGATGAACATTTGGGTTGTTTCCACCTTTTGAGTTCCAGTGAACGTGGCGCTGTGAACATTCCAGAACAACTGTCTGTGGCCGTGCTGCCTAAGTGCGTGTCATGCATGCAGTCATGTGACACCCAGGATGTCTCTTTAGGGGAGGGGGTTATTCCCCCCATAAGGTGAGGACCTAGGTGACCAGTGATCAGATGCAAGTCAAGCCCCGGGCCATCCAGCTCCAGTCTGTGCTTTTGACCATGAACCCCCAGCACCTCCTAATAGAGCTTGGCAGGTGTGGGGCAGTGAGGGGCCCCAGGTGGCCTGATTGGGGTGAGGGGGGGTACCAAGGAGGAGATGAAGGGACGAGGGGCCCAGCGGCCCCAGTGAGAAGTTTGGACTTGGTTTTAAGTGAGAACTGGAGATCCTGGCCTAGTGTTGAGCATGCTATGATTTGTGCTTTTAAAAGGCAAACTCTGCCACTAGGGGAAAATGGTCCTGGGGTGGGGGCTCGAGGGGGCAGCAGGTCAAGAGGAGTCGGGAGGCTGCTGGGACCCTTCGGGTGAGAGGCGATGGTGCCTCACCTGGGGGCCGGGCAGGGTTGGGAAAGAAGGCAGACTCGAAACAAAGGTGTCCGCTGCGTTGCCCTGACATCCAGCACCTTGGCCACATGTGTCCCCACCCCGATCAGAAGATGGATGTGAGGGAAGGGAAATCAGACCTGCCCCAGCAGCCTTGGGATGCAAGGAGAGGAAACAGCAAAGGATTTTAGCAAGACAAAGGTCACAGGGCAGAGTGAGAGGTGAAATGGAGAGACTAGTCAGGTCAGAGGGTGTTCGTTCTGTTGGGTCAAAGAGGGTGTGGGAGTCAGTGTCACCTGTGAGGATGGAAAAGCCCCAGGTGGGGGTAAATTGCTACTTCCTCCTGGCTGGGCCATTTGGAAAGTTCCTCTGAAATTCAAGACACACTTTTCTTCAGTCCAGTAGTTCCCCTTCTAAGTTTGTCTTGTTATAAAACTCGGAGGTGGTGCTAGTGGTAAAGAGCCTGCCAACGCAGTTTCATGAGACATGGGTTCAATCCTTGAGTCAGGAAGATCCACTGGAGGTCATGGCAACCCAATAGCATTCTTGCCTGGAGAATCCCCATGGACAGAGGAGCCTGGTGGGCTACAGTCCATGGGGTCACAGAGAATCAGACAAGACTGAAGCAATGTAGCATGGCATAACACACGTGATATAGGCAAGGGTATTCCTTAACACTGGACACAAATCTAAGCTACCATCAGTCTGGAGTTAAGTAAATCTTGGTACATTCCATTCTTAGAAACCTTCCCAGTCTTCAAGACAGATCAGGTAGACCTGTCTGTCTGCATTGACAGAGAAATATGAGTGCATGTAAAGTGTTAAGTGGCCTTCCCTGGCGTCTCAGTGATAAAGAATCTGCCTGCCAGTGCAGGAGATACAGATTTGATCCCTGGGTCGGGAAGATCCCCTGGAGAAGGAAATGGCCCCCAACTCCAGTATTCTTGACTGGAAAAATCCCATGGGCAGAGGCGCCTGGTGGGCTACAGTCCGTGGGGTCTCAGAGTTGGAACGCCTTAGCAAGTAAACAACAACAGTGAAATGTTAAGTACTGTGTCCTTTTCCAGGCGCACAAAAGCACCAGGAGATGTGCACACCAAGCTCTTTCCTGGAACATGGGGTGACAGACAGGCCAGCAGTTCACTTTCTTCTTTAGTCGTCTGAGTGTTTTTCTTTTGCAATCCTCGTGTATCATTTTTGTCATTAAGATGTAATATTCTTCCTTTGTGAAAAGAAAAGAGTAACAGACAGATGGCAGTTTCACTTACTTTTGAAAGAGGAACTTGGCAGTCCAGGGGGACAGGGACTAGCCCGGTGGCTTTCTCATGTTCCCAGGAGTTAGGTTGGACCTTCCCTTCCTTGCTCTCAGCCCAGGGATTCCTTCTCTGAGAACCACCCGCTCCCTGCACGGCTGCGGGTCCCTTGTTTATGGGCGGCCTGGAGCCTTCTCCCCGTCCTCCCCAAACCCTGCCCCAGGGACGAAGGCAGGGCCCTTTGTCCAAGGAATCTGCCCTCTGGCCCCCTGGCCTGCTCTAGCCAGACTGATGGGCAGGCCAAGATCACAGCTGCTCTGTATCCCTGGTCCTCACTTTCCTTTCTGGGCGTGGTCCTCGCCTAAAGCTGAGACCAGAAACGGAAGGAGGTGACAAGTGGGGGACCTCCCAGGCTCCTGCTAGCCCAGAATGCAAATGAAGGATGAAAATAAACCTTCTCACCCCACCCAGCCCAACTCTGGGCTGCTGCGTGGTTTAGCATCCATAGTCGGGTTTGAACCAACTGTCCACGGGTTTTCAATCTGGGCTGCCCGCGTGGCACGCCCTGACACCCTGCACTGTCCCCGTGTCCCCCCGCCCCGTCCTGCCACCTCTCGATGATACACCTGTGCCCCCTCCGTTTCCCTTCCAGCTGCCCCGCCCCCTCGCCCACCATGGCCTCCGATGACAAGAATGGCGCGAGGGTCTCCTCAGTGTCCAGCAGCCGCCTGCAGAGCCGCAAGCCGCCCAACCTGTCCATCACCATCCCTCCGCCCGAGACCCCGGCCCCCAGCGAGCAGGCCAGCATGCTGCCCCAGGTAAGAGGGGCCCCCGCTGTGCCCCCGGGACCCTTAGGGCAGTTCCACTTCCTGGAAGGGGGCCCTTCCGGAGCCTGCTGGGGCCCCTGCCGTAGGCTTCACCCCCTCCTGCCCGGCCCCCAATGTCACTGGGAGTGACTCCTGAACTCAGGACCTCAGTCTCATGGCTGGCCAGGGAAAATAGGAAACTCTTGCCAGTCCCGCTCGGGCATTGGCTGTTTCCAGCCCCAGTCCCTTCTTCTGTTTATTTATTTTTATTTGGCTGTGCCAGGTCTTAGTTGCAGCATGCAGGATCTGGTTTCCTGGCCAGGGATTGAACTTGGGTCCCCTCCATTGGGAGCACGGAGTCTTAGCCACTGGACCACCAGGGAAGCCCGCCAGCCCTGGCCGTTCTGCGGGTGGTGGACTGTCTGTGACTCGGGCAGGGATACCCCGACTTGCAGTGCTCCGCTCGTGCAGGAAGACAGGGATGAATCACCATTGCCAGCATCCCGACCAGCGCTCCATAAAGAGTCCATTGAGAACCCGCTGCTCATAGCGTGGGCGCCCGTGCAGTCTGGGGCCCCAGGGAGGCCGTCTCGTGCCACCCACGCAGCCAAGGGCGCTGTCAACACGCAAAGCCGGGCCAGCCTACGGCTTAGCCACGGCCAGGACCTAGAGACGGAGCTCTGGATGGGGAGCTGGGGAAGTGAGTGCTGGGCTCCCGAACACCCTAGAAAAGGGCCCATCTGACCCTCAGAATGAGAAAGCGGCTCGGGGTCAGCTGGGGTCAAGGTTTGTCCTGTCCAGGTTTTCACATCGGGAGCCAGATCAGAGGCAGCTCGGGGTGGAGCTCGGGGCTCCGTGGAGTCACAGCCCGTTTCCCCCTCCCGCCCCCAGGAACCTGGAGGGCAGAGGCCCAAGAACCCAGCCCTCCTGAAGAGCGTCAGCCTCCAGGAGCCGCGAGGACGATGGCAGGAGGGCAGCCCGGAGAAGCGCCCTGGCTTCCGCCGCCAGGCCTCCCTGTCCCAGAGCATCCGCAAGTGAGCATGCTTGCCCTGCCAACACGCCCCCCACCCAGCAGACACCCCCTCCACCACTCGACGGACTCCGACACTCTGGGGCCCCAAGCCCCTTTCCGGGGGGCGTGACAGGCAGCCCATGTTCCAGGCCGGAGAAACTGAGGCCCGGGCGGCTTTGTGCCTGGCAAGAAGACCTGGCAAGGAGGCTGCAGGGGGTCAAGGAGCTGGGGGTGAGCCTGTGCCACACTGCAGCTCCTGGGGCCTCCCCAGCTCAGCTCTCAGGCCCTGGCCTTTATTCCCCCTCCTCTGTCCATCCAGTCTCTGGACACTGAGTGGGGGCTGTCAGTCTGCCTCCCCACCCCCCGCTGCACCCACACGTGTCCTGTCACCTCCCACTGCACACACGCGCCCTGTCTTGCTCCCGCCGCCATGGTGACGCGCGCCCTGTGTCCTGTCTGCCCCCGCAGGGGCGCGGCCCAGTGGTTCGGGGTCAGCGGAGACTGGGAACTGAAGCGGCAGCACTGGCAGCGCCGGAGCCTTCACCACTGCAGCGTGCGCTACGGCCGGCTCAAAGCCTCGTGCCAGCGGGACCTGGAGCTCCCCAGCCAAGAGGTGCCCTCCTTCCAGGACACTGAGTCTCCAAAGCCCTGCAAGATGCCCAAGGTGGGCTCCAGCCGGGGGCGGGGGCACCAAGGGACTCGGCCCAGCGCCCGGCGGCCTCTGCTCACAGCCTCCCTCCCGTCCAGATCGTGGACCCCCTGGCCCGAGGACGGGCATTCCGCCACCCGGACGAGGTGGACCGGCCCCACGCCCCGCACCCACCGCTGACCCCTGGTGTCCTTTCCCTCACCTCCTTCACCAGCGTCCGCTCCGGTTATTCCCACCTGCCTCGCCGCAAGAGGATCTCTGTGGCCCACATGAGCTTTCAAGCTGCTGCAGCCTTGCTTAAGGTAAGGACACCACTGCTCAGCCTGCTCCCTCTCTCCCCCATCCCAGGCACTTCCGTCTGTGCCAGGGCCGTGGCTGCTCTGGGATCCCTGGGTGGAGAAGGGGGCTACAGCCCAGTAGGCAGACTCACCCACATCCTTCTAGCCCCACTTCTCCCTAGTGTGGACAGCTGGTTTCTGTACCAACACATAGGCGGGAGAAGTAGGAAGTGAAATGCAGAGTCACTGCTCCCTGACCCATGTTTGCAGAGCCCCCGTTTTGTGCTGGGCACCGGGGCATCGCAGAGAGAACTGAGCCAGTGTCCCTGCCCTGGAGGGGCCCTCAGCTCGGACGAGGGGAGATGTCACCATGCGGTGTGACAGGTGCTGGGGCCCACCCAGAGGAGGGGCTGCCCTGTCTTGCCCAGGAGAGGGGCTGATGCCAGAGAGGGCAGTTGGGAGGTATAAAGAAAGTTTCGCCAGGAAGGGAATCGCATTCTCAGCAGAGGGAATGGCCTATGCAAGGCCTGGGGGTAAGAGGCAGTAGCAGGTGGTTTTAGGGAAGGGTGGTCACAAAAGGAATGGCGGGAGGTGGGATCAGAAAGGTCAGCAGGGGCCCCATGTGCTGTGCCGGGAAGCCCAAACCTTGGGAGTGAGGGTGCAGGGCGAGTGGCGGGGTGCCAGGTACCCAAGCCCGAGGGCGGGAGGTCGCCAGGAGAGGTTGGCAGCCAACCGCGGAGAGATTGCTGTGTACAGGCCAGGGGAGGAGCTGGAGCCCAGACGCTCCTACTCTGCGCAGGGTCCCACCTCCCCGGGCGGATGGCCTTGACACCCCTTTGGTGTCGGGGCAGGACCACCTCCCCTGGGCCTGACGCCCGTGCCTCTGCCCCACATAGGGGCGCTCGGTGCTGGAGGCCACGGGACAGCGGAGCCGGGTGGTCAAGTGCAGCTTTGCCTACCCCAGCTCTCTGGAGGAGGACGTGGTCGATGGGGCGGAGACATTCGACTCCTCATTTTTTAGTAAGGCAAGCACCGGGTGTGCGGGCCCTCGGGGTCGGGGGGCTGGGGTGGGCGGGAGCCGGGGGAAGAGACCTGGCCTCCATCGCGCTCTGCCGGGAGCCCCTCAGATGTCCAGAGGCCCGGCTGTGGGGTGGGGGTGCCACCTCTCGGAGCTCCCGGGCCCTCCCATCTTTCGTTGGCAGAGCGAGCGCCTGGGATGGGGCAGGTGCCAGCCAGGAGAGTCGCCGTCAGGACCCACAGACATGTGCCTCCCCTCGCTCCCTCCCCGGGAGCCTGTCCGGCGTCCTGCCCTTGAACTGAGCTGCTGGCGGGGCAGGGCGGGAGAGAGTGACTCCTCACACTGTCTCTTTCTGTGTCCCCGACTCCACCCCCACCCCAGGAAGAAATGAGCTCCATGCCCGATGACGTGTTTGAGTCGCCCCCACTCTCCGCCAGCTACTTCCGGGGGCTTCCGCACTCGGCCTCCCCTGTCTCCCCCGAGCAGGTCCCCCTGTGAGTTCCGGACAGTCCTCCCAGTGGAGCGTGGTAGCGGCCCCGGGTGTAGGGGGGTGTGGAGGGCTTCCCCAGATCACAGGTCCCTCCTGGTCCCCGCCTCGTGGGAAGGAGGGGGTGAGGGTACCCGGCTGAGACTGCCATCCTCACCAGGAAGGAGTCCAGCCGAGCCCCGGCGCCCCCCACCAAACGCGGCAAGCGCATCGCCTCCAAGGTGAAGCACTTTGCCTTCGACCGGAAGAAGCGGCACTACGGGCTGGGCGTGGTGGGCGCCTGGCTGAACCGCACCTACCGCCGTAGCATCAGCAGCACTGTGCAGCGGCAGCTGGAGAACTTCAACAGCCACCGGTGAGCCGCCGGCCGGGCCGCCGCTCCGAGACCTGGGGGTGCTCACTGTCCCGGAGGGCTGCTCCCAGGAGCAGGCCCAGGCAGAGGGGCTGGGAGCCACCCAGGAGGGACCACGGGGCCTCCAGATCGCCCCGGGCCCTCTCCCAGAACATCCCTTCTTGTTCAGCGAGCTTTTGATGAGCACCTCTTATGTGTCGGGGGAGCGGGGACAGTCCCCGGGGTCACCCTGTGAGCTTGCACGTCACCCGGGAGGAGTCGTCGGGTGTTGCTGCCTCTTGTTTTCTGGGCCCGCTTTCTCCCTGGGTCCCAGACAACAAGTGTTCACTCAGTGCTACGCAGGCCCTGGGACAACAGAGCAGGGCAGGTGTGGTGGATCAGAGGGGTGGTTAGAAGCGGTGACCACGAGTGAGGGGCCTGTGGAGAGGGACTGTGTAGACCTTGGGGGAAGCCAGAGGATTGCGAACAGGCCATTTTCTGTGTACAGTTAGCAGCAACCTGATAGACACTGAACCCCAGATCACAGAAAATTAAGTGATAGCAGGTGTGGAGTGTGTCCCGGGGAAGGAGGACAGAGAGGGAGTGAACAGAGGGTGGGGAGGTGTGTGGTCAGGAAGAGCAGCGATTAGCTGGGTGAAGAGAGACGGGCAGAGCATCTCAGGCAAAGGACGCATCATGTGCAAAGGCCCCGCGGCTGCAGGGCATGGGTTGCATTCCCAGAACTGCAAGAGGAGAGGAAGGAGGCCAGGAAGGTGGGCAGGCGCAGCAAGGCCTGGCAGCCAGCAGGAGTGGGCAGCATGAGACTTGATTCTCAGAGCAGCAAGAAGCCACGGGGAGGGTTTCAGTTGGAAGAGAAAGGCGTAGAGGTGCGTGTTAGGAAGTAAAGGACGAGTCTAAGAAGATAGCAGAGGGTTGGGAGCAGGTAAGAGCTGTCAGCAGCTGGATGTCGCAGGCCTGAGGGTCAGGGTGTGAGTCCGGCTCTGCTGACCCAAGGCCCCTGCCCGCAGGCCCTACTTCACCTACTGGCTGACCTTTGTCCACGTCATCATCACGCTGCTGGTGATCGGCACGTACGGCATCGCGCCTGTGGGCTTTGCCCAGCACATCACCACGCAGCTGGTGAGTGGGGCTCGGGAAGGGGGTCTCCATCCTGGGAATCCTAGCCTCCCACCCAAGAGGCTTCCTTGTCTTGGGCCACCCGGTCCCTCCAAGGCACAAACCTGACCCAGGCGGGAGGGGGCTCTGGGCTCTCGCCTGCTTTGCCTTTCAGCCCCTTCCTGGAAGCCCTTCCCTGGGACCGAGAAAGCCCTGACCCTGCCTCCTTCCACCCCTGCACCAGGTGCTCAGGAACAAAGGTGTGTATGAGAGCGTGAAGTACATCCAGCAGGAGAACTTCTGGATCGGCCCCAGCTCGGTGAGGGGCCCAGGCGCAGACGGCATCTCAGCAGGGAGCCCCCTGCCCCTGTCACCCCCAGCTGGGCAGAGAAGGGGTTGTGTCTAACCTGGAAGCCCCCCTCAGCAGGAGGACCCTCGGGAGGAACGCTCCAGCCAGGTCTGGGCCTGAGCTCACAACCCCCTCCCCGGCTACCCCCTCCCCAGATCGACTTGATCCACCTGGGAGCCAAGTTCTCACCTTGCATCCGGAAGGACCAACAGATCGAGCAGCTCGTGCTGCGGGAACGAGACCTGGAGCGGGACTCAGGCTGCTGTGTCCAAAACGACCGTTCGGGCTGCATCCAAACCCAGAGGAAGGACTGCTCGGTGGGAACGTGGGCCCTTCAGTCCCGGCCAGCCCACCCTGGTCCCCCACACAGGCTCCACTTGCCCCAGCCTGGGGGAGGGGCGCTTCAAGGGTGGTGTCTACACATTGCATCCATGCTTCCTCTGCCCTCCCTGGCCTCACACCCGGCCCCTGGGCTCACACCCCCCTCCCTGGGCTCACACCCTCCTCCCTGGGCTCACAACCCCCTCCCTGGGCTCACACCCTCCTCCCTGGGCTCACACCCTCCTCCCTGGGCTCACACCCCCCTCCCTGGGCTCACACCCTCCTCCCTGGGCTCACACCCACTCCCTGGGCTCACACCCCCCTCCCTGGGCTCACACCCACTCCCTGGGCTCACACCCACTCCCTGGGCTCACACCCTCCTCCCTGGGCTCACACCCCCCTCCCTGGGCTCACACCCTCCTCCCTGGGCTCACACCCCCCTCCCTGGGCTCACACCCCCCTCCCTGGGCTCACACCCCCCTCCCTGGGCTCACACCCACTCCCTGGTCTCACACCCCCCTCCCTGGGCTCACACCCCCCTCTCTGGGCTCACACCCGCCTCCCTGGGCTCACACCCGCCTCCCTGGGCTCACACCCACTCCCTGGGCTCACACCCGCCTCCCTGGGCTCACACCCACTCCCTAGGCTCACACCCCCCTCCCTGGGCTCACACCCCCCTCCCTGGGCTCACACCCTCCTCCCTGGGCTCACACCCCCCTCCCTGGGCTCACACCCCCCTCCCTGGGCTCACACCCACTCCCTGGGCTCACACCCACTCTCTGGGCTCACACCCTCCTCCCTGGGCTCACACCCTCCTCCCTGGGCTCACACCCACTCCCTGGGCTCACACCCCCCTCCCTGGGCTCACACCCCCCTCCCTGGGCTCACACCCGCCTCCCTGGGCTCACACCCACTCCCTGGGCTCACACCCTCCTCCCTGGGCTCACACCCACTCCCTGGGCTCACACCCACTCCCTGGGCTCACACCCCCCTCCCTGGGCTCACAGCCCCCTCCCTGGGCTCACACCCACTCCCTGGGCTCACACCCCCCTCCCTGGGCTCACACCCTCCTCCCTGGGCTCACACCCCCCTCCCTGAGCTCATACCCACTCTCTGGGCTCACACCCTCCTCCCTGGGCTCACACCCCCCTCCCTGGGCTCACACCCCCCTCCCTGGGCTCACACCCTCCTCCCTGGGCTCACACCCCCCTCCCTGGGCTCACACCCCTCTCCCTGGGCTCACACCCCCCTCCCTGAGCTCACACCCTCCTCCCTGGGCTCACACCCCCTCCCTGGGCTCACACCCCCCTCCCTGGGCTCACACCCGCCTCCCTGGGCTCACACCCGCCTCCCTGGGCTCACACCCCCCTCCCTGGGCTCACACCCACTCTCTGGGCTCACACCCGCCTCCCTGGGCTCACACCCCCCTCCCTGGGCTCACACCCACTCTCTGGGCTCACACCCGCCTCCCTGGGCTCACACCCACTCCCTGGGCTCACACCCACTCCCTGGGCTCACACCCCCGTCCCTGGGCTCACACCCCCTCCCTGGGCTCACACCCCCCTCCCTGAGCTCACACCCTCCTCCCTGGGCTCACACCCCCTCCCTGGGCTCACACCCCCCTCCCTGGGCTCACACCCGCCTCCCTGGGCTCACACCCGCCTCCCTGGGCTCACACCCCCTCCCTGGGCTCACACCCGCCTCCCTGGGCTCACACCCCCCTCCCTGGGCTCACACCCGCCTCCCTGGGCTCACACCCACTCCCTGGGCTCACACCCCCCTCCCTGGGCTCACACCCACTCTCTGGGCTCACACCCGCCTCCCTGGGCTCACACCCCCTCCCTGGGCTCACACCCCCTCTCTGGGCTCACACCCCCTCCCTGGGCTCACACCCCCCTCCCTGGGCTCACACCCACTCTCTGGGCTCACACCCCCCTCCCTGGGCTCACACCCCCTCCCTGGTCTCACACCCTCCTCCCTGGGCTCACACCCAGTCCCTGGGCTCACACCCCCCTCCCTGGGCTCACACCCACTCTCTGGGCTCACACCCCCCTCCCTGGGCTCACACCCACTCCCTGGGCTCACACCCCCCTCCCTGGGCTCACACCCACTCTCTGGGCTCACACCCCCCTCCCTCGGCTCACACCCTCCTCCCTGGGCTCAGACCCACTCCCTGGGCTCACAGCCCCCTCTCTGGGCTAACACCTGCCTCCCTGGGCTCACACCCCCCCCCTGGGCTCACACCCCCCTCCCTGGGCTCACACCCGCCTCCCTGGGCTCACACCCACTCCCTGGGCTCACACCCACTCCCTGGGCTCACACCCCCCTCCCTGGGCTCACACCCGCCTCCCTGGGCTCACACCCCCTCCCTGGGCTCACAGCCCCCTCCCTGGGCTCACACCCCCCCCCTGGGCTCACACCCCCCTCCCTGGGCTCACACCCCCCTCCCTGGGCTCACACCCCCTCTCTGGGCTCACACCCACTCCCTGGGCTCACACCCCCCTCCCTGGGCTCACACCCTCCTCCCTGGGCTCACACCCCCCTCTCTGGGCTCACACCCTCCTCCCTGGGCTCACACCCTCCTCCCTGGGCTCACACCCTCCTCCCTGGGCTCACACCCCCCTCCCTGGGCTCACACCCCCCTCCCTGGGCTCACACCCCCCTCCCTGGGCTCACACCCACTCCCTGGGCTCACACCCCCCTCCCTGTGCTCACACCCCCCTCCCTGGGCTCACACCCCCCTCCCTGGGCTCACACCCCCCTCCCTGGGCTCACACCCCATTCTCTGGGCTCACACGCCCTCCCTGGGCTCACACCCTCCTCCCTGGGCTCACACCCCCTCCCTGGGCTCACACCCCCCTCCCTGGGCTCACACCCTCCTCCCTGGGCTCACACCCTCCTCCCTGGGCTCACACCCCCCTCCCTGGGCTCACACCCCCCTCCCTGGGCTCACACCCCATTCTCTGGGCTCACACGCCCTCCCTGGGCTCACACCCTCCTCCCTGGGCTCACACCCCCTCCCTGGGCTCACACCCCCCTCCCTGGGCTCACACCCGCCTCCCTGGGCTCACACCCCCCTCCCTGGGCTCACACCCCCCTCTCTGGGCTCACAGCCCCCTCCCTGGGCTCACACCCACTCCCTGGGCTCACACCCCCCTCTCTGGGCTCACACCCCCCTCCCTGGGCTCACACCCACTCCCTGGGCTCACACCCCCTCCCTGGGCTCACACCCACTCCCTGGGCTCACACCCCCCTCCCTGGGCTCACAGCCCACTCCCTGGGCTCACACCCCCCTCCCTGGGCTCACAGCCCCCTCCCTGGGCTCACACCCACTCTCTGGGCTCACACCCCCCTCCCTGGGCTCACACCCCCCTCCCTGGGCTCACACCTCCTCCCTGGGCTCACACCCTCCTCCCTGGGCTCACACCCTCCTCCCTGGGCTCACACCCACTCCCTGGGCTCACACCCCCTCCCTGGGCTCACACCCTCCTCCCTGGGCTCACACCCACTCCCTGGGCTCACACCCCCCTCCCTGGGCTCACAGCCCACTCCCTGGGCTCACACCCCCCTCCCTGGGCTCACAGCCCCCTCCCTGGGCTCACACCCACTCTCTGGGCTCACACCCCCCTCCCTGGGCTCACACCTCCTCCCTGGGCTCACACCCCCCTCCCTGGGCTCACACCCCCCTCCCTGGGCTCACACCCACTCCCTGGGCTCACACCCCCCTCCCTGGGCTCACACCCCCCTCCCTGGGCTCACACCCCCCTCCCTGGGCTCACACCCACTCCCTGGGCTCACACCCCCCTCCCTGGGCTCACACCCCCCTCCCTGGGCTCACACCCCCCTCCCTGGGTTCACACCTCCTCCCTGGGCTCACACCCTCCTCCCTGGGCTCACACCCCCTCCCTGGGCTCACACCCCCCTCCCTGGGCTCACACCCACTCTCTGGGCTAACACCTGCCTCCCTGGGCTCACACCCCCCTCCCTGGGCTCACACCCCCTCTCTGGGCTCACACCCCCCTCCCTGGGCTCACACCCTCCTCCCTGGGCTCACACCCACTCTCTGGGCTCACACCCCCCTCCCTGGGCTCACACCCACTCCCTGGGCTCACACCCCCCTCTCTGGGCTCACACCCCCCTCCCTGGGCTCACACCCCCACTCCCTGGGCTCACACCCACTCCCTGGGCTCACACCCCCCTCCCTGGGCTCACACCCCCTCCCTGGGCTCACACCCTCCTCCCTGGGCTCACACCCTCCTCCCTGGGCTCACACCCCCCTCCCTGGGCTCACACCCCCCTCCCTGGGCTCACACCCCCCTCCCTGGGCTCACACCCGCCTCCCTGGGCTCACACCCCCCTCCCTGGGCTCACACCCCCCTCCCTGGGCTCACACCCCCTCCCTGGGCTCACACCCACTCCCTGGGCTCACACCCCCTCCCTGGGCTCACACCCCCTCCCTGGGCTCACACCCTCCTCCCTGGGCTCACACCCCCTCCCTGGGCTCACACCCCCTCCCTGGGCTCACACCCTCCTCCCTGGGCTCACACCACCCTCCCTGGGCTCACACCCCCCTCCCTGGGCTCACACCCCATTCCCTGGGCTCACATCCCGCCCCCAGGCTCACACCCAATGTCGGCAGCCTGTCACAGGGAGGGTACCAACCTCCCCAGCCCCGGAGAAGTGAAAGCTGCGTCCTGGGAGTCTCAGTGAGGGGTGGGGGTCTGGGAGGTGAGCCAGAAACCTGGACAACAGGGAATGAGCCCCTGCTGGAGGGGCCCCTGCCCACTCATGGGCACGACCTGTCCAGCCCGCCATGACCACCCCTACCCCATCCTCCAGGAGACTCTGGCCACTTTCGTCAAGTGGCAAGATGATACGGGGCCCCCCATGGACAAGTCTGATCTGGGCCAGAAGCGGACTTCTGGGGCCGTGTGCAACCAGGACCCCAGGTACCCACAGCTGAGCTCTCTGAGAAGACAGGGCTGAGTGTCATGTAGTTGGTGCCACCTGTGGGGGTGCTGGCTGGTGTGCGTGGCAGGCTGTGGGTGCTGGCCGGTGGGCGTGGCCGGCTGGGGGGCTGGTGGGCGTGGCAGGCTGGGGGTGCTGGCCAGGGGGCGTGGCAGGCTAGGGATGCCGAGGCCCCACATTTTGCCCCCTCCAACCTCTGCTTCCAGAACCTGTGAGGAGCCAGCCTCCAGCGGTGCCCACATCTGGCCCGACGACATCACCAAGTGGCCGGTGAGTGTGCGGGGAGGAGAGCGGTCCAGGAAGGGGAGGGAGGCACGCTGGCCGCTGCACAGCCCCATCCTCTGCTCCATGCCCCTCCTGGCAGATCTGCACGGAGCAGGCCGAGAGTAACCGCTCGGGCTTCCCGCACATGGACTGCCAGATCCGGGGCCGCCCCTGCTGCATCGGCACCAAGGGCAGGTGAGCCGGCCTGGGTCCCGGGCCCGAGCCCCTCTGCGCCGCCTCTGCCACCCCCTTCCAGGCTCTGTCCTCCCTGCCCGCTCCATCCATGCTATGAGGGTCCCTGAAGAGGGGCATGCATCCTGCCAGCGATGCCTGCTGCGGCCAGGTGCCGGACACTGGGTGAGGGATTGGGACTCAGTCCCCTGACGTCCGCTCTTGCCTCCCCGTCCCCAGCTGTGAGATCACCACGCGGGAATACTGTGAGTTCATGCACGGCTATTTCCACGAGAAGGCCACGCTCTGCTCCCAGGTGAGGCGGGGCCCTGGGCACGGTGAGCAGCCTTCGCGCCCTCCTGCAGCAGGTGTCCGGTCCCAACCCCCCACTTCAGGGCCTCCCCCGAAGCTGGGTCCCCGGGACTGACCGCTGTGCGTGCCCCCAGGTACACTGCTTGGACAAGGTGTGTGGACTGCTGCCCTTCCTCAACCCCGAGGTCCCCGATCAGTTCTACAGGCTCTGGCTGTCTCTGTTCCTCCACGCTGGGTAAGAGGCCCCTCGCTGCCCACCCCCCAGGCCCCCGTGGTGCCTGCCCACCTGGACCCCCGGAGGAAGGCCCCTGAGCCAAGGCACAACCTGCCAGGCCCCGGTGCCCCCCAAGTGCCTGGCTGGTGGCCACAGGCGGAAGCCGATGCCCATGTGTCCCCACCCAGCGTGATCCACTGCCTCGTGTCTGTGATTTTCCAAATGACCATCCTGCGTGACCTGGAGAAGCTGGCTGGCTGGCACCGCATCTCCATTATCTTCATCCTCAGCGGCATCACCGGCAACCTCGCCAGCGCCCTCTTCCTCCCATACCGGGCGGAGGTGGGGACTTGGGGCCCTCTGGGGACTGGGCGGGGTGGGGCTAGCCCTGCTACTTCCCCGCCCCCTCCACCGCCACCACTACCCAACCCGGGTCGGCCAGAGGGATACACAGCCCCTGCCATTTCAGGCTCAACAGTCGATGGACAGCTAAGCTGGGGGCTTCCTGGCCAGTTCCTTAGTCTGTTCTTGGGCACAAGGGAGCAGCAATGCCCCTGGGTCACGTATAGAGATCACCTCCAGAAAGACCTTCCTGGCCACCCCACCCCACTCCTGCTTCATTTCTCTCTGTGACCATGACCACTTGCCAGCACGCCCCTTAGCTACAGGCTGAGCCCTATGAAGTTGCCCTCGTGTGGCCGTTCTTGCTAAGAAAGAAGGGTTTGTTGGTCAGTTCCCCCTCACGCTCTGGACTAGTTCAGTGTCTGTCCCCGCCACGTGCGCTGCCCAGAGCAGGCTGTCTGTCCTGCTCACTGTACCCGCTGCGCACGTAGTAGGTGCTCCGTGTCTGCAGAAAGGGTGGGCGGAACGAGTCCGGCTGGGTTCCGGCAGCTCTGGCTGCACCTCCCCCTGCCCCCTCGGCCCTCAGCTTTGGGGTCCCCACCCTGGGAGGGGCTCATGGAGGGGATGACCCATGTCCCAGGGCTCCCGCCTGGCGCCTGGAAGTGACGGTGTCCCCGCCCCACCCGCCCGCCCCAGGTGGGCCCTGCAGGGTCGCAGTTCGGCCTCCTGGCCTGCCTCTTTGTGGAGCTCTTCCAGAGCTGGCAGCTGCTGGAGCGGCCCTGGAAGGCCTTCCTGAACCTGTCCGCCATCGTGCTCTTCCTCTTCATCTGCGGCCTCCTGCCCTGGATCGACAACATCGCTCACATCTTTGGCTTCCTCAGCGGCCTGCTGCTGGCCTTTGCCTTCCTGCCCTACATCACCTTCGGCACGAGCGACAAGTACCGCAAGCGCGCCCTCATCCTGGTGTCGCTGGTGGTCTTCGCCGGCCTCTTCGCCTCGCTGGTCATCTGGCTGTATGTCTACCCCATCCACTGGCCCTGGGTCGAGTACCTCACCTGCTTCCCTTTCACCAGCCGCTTCTGCGAGAAGTACGAGCTGGACCAGGTGCTACACTGACCGCCTGCCCGGCGGGGCCAGCACGGCTGCTCCCACCCACCTTGGAGGACACGGGGGCTGTGTCTGGACCGAGCTGTCCACCTGCACAGCGCCCCCCACACACCCCAGAGACCGCATGTTGCCGGCCCTGCTCCCAGGAGCTCCCTCCCCCAGGAGAGACAGAGTCCGAGGGGAGACGCTCCTAAAGGCAGGCTTCTCGGGGGGCCAAGGCCCCCCTTCCTCAGGCCCAGGCTGGGGGACACTCGGAGCCTGTGCATCTCTGCAGCTCGGGGCCCAGGCCCTGACAGCCCCCCCACTGCCGGGCCGTCAGGACTCCTCCTGGGGGGTGCTCCTTTCTTCCAGGGTCCTGGGCTGCTGCTCAGCCCCTACCTCCGGCTCCACTGGTACAGTCCCCGCCCCGCCCTGTTACTGTGAGCGAGCTCCTCCCGAGGATGAGGCTGGGGTTCCCGCCGGGTTCCCAACCCTGCCTGCTCGCGGCCCCCTGCCCGTTGCCCCTCCCTTCTCGGCCCTGTGAGTCCATGCCTGGCTTCCATCAGTGGCCTGGTGAGCCTCCCCATTACGCTCCTGAACCAGACCTCATGGGGGAAGGCTTTGGCCGTGGTATGGGGCAGAGGAGGAGCAAAGAGACACAGCTAGACTGGGAAGCTGAGAGCCTGGGCTGTTATCCAACAGAAGCTGAACCCGCCAGCCCACCCCAGGGCCCCCAGTCCCTCCCAGCCAGCCCTTCCCCGTGTTCAGCCTCGTGGGGCTGGACGGATACCAACCAGCTCCCCACCCTCTGCCTCACTTCTACCAAGAAAGGAGCAGGGCCACCCCGTGGACCTGCGCCCAGGGGTTGCCCAAGGTCAATCAGGACTTTTTTTTTTAACCAATTTATATCATGGTCCTAACTTTTTAAGGTAACGCTAACTTTGTATGGACAATGTCTGAAATGGATTAAATGATATTCTTTAAGAAAGGATTAGCTTTTGATCTGAGGCCTCAATAAAATAAAAGCTGGAACTTTACTTTGGGGGTTGGGTGGCAGGGGTCAGCCATGAGGAGCAGGGGGCGGGCATGGCCCAAAGGATTTGTGGAAGCTTGGGGGACTTTCGAGGGATTTGTTAGGGGCATAAGCCAGGTTGGGGTCACCTGGAGGGTTTCAGGAGGTGTGCTGAGATGATGCTGGTAAATCCTTGGACTCCCGCGGTACCCCAGCCCCAGCTGCTTGTAGAGAGAGTCAGGGGTCTGGCTGGGCAGAGTGGAGGGCCTGGCGGAAGCCGTGCTGGGGGTGGGGGAGCAGTTCTTGGGCTTTCACTGCACCTCCCCCCAGCCCTTCACCCCACACGTGATGGGGCACAAACATGGTTACTGTGGGCAGGGAACCTGAGGCGCTGGGGTGTGGGGGAGCTGAGAGCTGGCCCCTGCCCTTCCCTCCCCCCAGCTGCCCCCACTCCAGGGATGAGGACCAGAAGGGGCAGCCCTGGGTCTGGGGGGATAGGGGCTCCTTTGGTGAGGACGCAGAAGCAAGGCTGCAGGATGCCTCCCACTGTCCCCAGTTCACAGACCCAGCACGTGTGGGCGCAGTTTGGATGCAGGGGGTCCGCAGGGCCTGGCATGGACAGAGAAGAGCACAGAAGTACTGTGCCCCAGGAGGGCACCCGGGCTGGGAGCAGCCGCCCCGCCTTCTCTTTATTTCACCCATTCCCCCCTCTCCACCATCCGCTGGGAATCGCTGTCTCCCTTCAGACCAAGCGGAGCAGGGGGACGGCAGGGCAGAGAAGGGGACCGACCAGGGATTGGGTAGGAGGCCCTGACCGTGGGCTCCCCGGGGGGCAGCAGGTCAGGGGTCACTGTTCCGGCGCAGGGCGGCGTGGCCCCGCAGGGAGCAGTGCATCTCCGTGAAGGTCAGCGAGCCCACGACGATGGCACATGGGCCCGCGGGATGGAAGCCGAACCTCTGGTAGAAGGGCACCAGCGGGTCCTCACACATGAGCACGGCCCGGCGCACGGCCGGCTGGCCGCCCACGCGGTGCAGGTAGCGCCAGAGCAGGACGGAGCCCTTGCCCTGCCACCGGAAGGTGCGGTGCACGGCCAGCACGTGCAGGTGGGCGGCGCGCCCCCCAGGCCTGTGCAGCATCAGCGACGCCTGGGGCGAGAGACAGACACGAGTCAGGGTCGCCTCTGTGCACCCAACACCACCCGCGCTGGGCCAAGAGCAGCCACCCCCGAGAGTCTCCAATCAGGCCCCCTTCTACACAAATAGGAGCTATGACCCCAGCCCCTTTGTGGTCCCCTTCATGAGGGTCTTGCGACCCCAAAGGACTGGGCTGTCTTGCCAGGAGAGGACCCACCGTGAGCTCCTGTGTTGCATCTGGAGAAAGACATCCCAGCCTCCTGTTCCTCCCCCACCTTCTGCCTCCATGGGAAGTGGTGGCCTCTTTTCCTGAGGCCTTCCCGGGACCGGGCAGGTCACCCCATCCTCACCTGAGTAAGTCTCTCCTCGTCCCACAGGGAGCCAATGATGAAGGCCACGAGGCGGCCCTCCACAAACCAGCCCAGGGACAGCTCGGGACACAGGGTCAGGAAGTGCCGGACCTCATCCAGATTCAGGGGGCAGTTGCTGGAGACAGAGATGAAGGCTGCGTCAGGAAGCACAAGTGGGTGAACCCCGTCCACTGAGCATCTTCTCAGATGCTGGGTGGGCTCCCCAGGTCCCCAAGCCTCCCCTGGGAAGCATGGGATTCAGGGCTGCTCTTCCCCCGACTCGCCTGAAACACACGCGCTCCTGCACACGCACAGAAACACACTGTCAGATACTCTGGGGGTCCGTCTGCCAAGGACAGGGGACTCCAGGGTCTTCTCCCCAAGGGCAACGGCGGCAGAGTTCAGCAGAGTCTGACCCTGGGGAGCCGGGGGGGCTGCTCACTCTCTCGCTCAATCTGAAACACGCCGGCAGCGTCCTCTGGGGTGAGGCAGCGAAACTCGTTGGCAGGGAGCGTGTGGCGCCGCTGGCGGCCTGGGGACCCTGGGATCCCAGACGGCAGGTGCAGAGCCGAGGGCTTCAGGCAGTGGACGCTCAGCGTGGACATCCTGGATGCGGCTGCCACCCAGGGGATCCCCAGCTTCAGAAGTGGCCCCTGTGACCAGGAGGGTCCCTCGGCACCTGTTGGAGAGGGGTGATGGTCAGGGGGCTGGTCCTCATCTCCCAGGGGGCCGTCCAGGGCGATGGTGCCTCTTGCCTCTTTTGCAGGAGACCTGGAGGGGGGAGTCTGGGTGCTAGGGCATCAATTCCTCCTGCCTTGTGCCTGCTTACTGGCTCCCCGGGTCCCTTTCTGTCTCTCTCCCTGACCCCCTGTCGATGTGCAGATCCTAGAGGCAGCCATGCCTCTCTTACGAAGCCCGTAATTTGCGAGTTGCCCTCCCCTCCCTCCTCCACCTTCTCTCCCCAGGTCTCCAAGCCCCAAGCAGGGGACTCCTGTTCCTGGGAGCCTGTGAGAGGATCCCACTTACCAAGACCACAGGGCCAGTTACCCCAGAAGCTGTTCTTGGGCTCAGGAGCCAGGGAAACCCAGGACCTGCTTTTGTAGCAGGTGTGGCCAGGCAGCGCATGACAGTGTCCTCAGAGATTTCCAAGGCAATGTCCCACCTCCACGTCACCCCAGGCAGGATGAAGCCAGCAGGGCTGGGCCCTGTCCCCAGCCTCTGAGGGCAAAACCTCAGGCTGGCATGCAGGACACAGAGGGGATTATAGCAGCTGATGAGGCCCCGGAGTTTGGGGAAAAGATCACTTGGGACCGCTCAAAAACAGAAGTCAACCGAGTCCATTCTAAAATCAAATTGGCTTTATTCAGGGATTCATGAGTCAAGCACCATCCCACCTGGCAAGTAGAAAGGAGCTCCAGGGCTTCCCCGCTGGCTCAGCGGTAAAGAGTCCACCTGCCGAGGCAGGAGACCCAGGTTCGACCCCTGATCTGGGAAGATCCCACTTGCCGTGGAGCAGCTGCATCTCAACTGTTGAGCCTGTGCTCTATAGCCCGGGAACCGCAACGTCTGAGCCCAGGCAGCTGAGAGCCTGTGCTCTGCAACAAGAGAAGCCCCCACAATGAGAGGCTTGTGCACCGCAACGAGAGAGAGCCTGTGTGCACCAACGAAGACCAAGCACAGTCCGAAAGAAATAAATATTTAGAAAGGAGTTCCAAAGAGTTGTACAAAATCGGAGCCCTTCAAAGACTGAAGGGGCCAGGAACAAGGAGAGAGCTGATGAGGAATTCCTTGATGGTCCAGCGGTTGAGACTCGGCTCTTTCACTGCTGGGGCCTCTTAAATGAAAGAGTAGATGAGGTCTATCAGGAAGAGTATGTCACTAGCGCTGACCAGGAAATTCCAGACTGACTGGTTTAGCATTCCAGATCTGAGAGAGGCAGAAGCTGCCGAGAGGTTAGGTATTAAAACCTCAGTTTGGTGCGGCTTAGCACTAGAGACTCCATTTTGGGCCTGACATTGATTTCTAAACAGGGTTAAGCCTCAGGAGTCAGGCTCTAACCTCTGCTCTTGTGTTCACTGGTTGGCTGGGGCATCACCCTCTGTCCCCTGGGGACCTGGGCATGCCCTCCTCTGAGGTTCTTCCAGCCCTGGCAGCCCGAGATTGCTACATCTATGGCACTTGATACCTGCTCAACCCTGGATCAGAGTCTGCTTTAATCCACATGACAGCTCTGCCCAGTGAGTATGAACCCCATGTCAGAGAGAGGGAAACTGAAACTCAGAGAGGTGAGGTGACCTGTGTGTTGCCCCCAGGGTTGCTGGGCCCCGTTGATTTTCCAAATGATCAGTTCACAGCTTTGCATCTCTCAGTCATCAGCGTCCTCCAGTCAGGGTCTACCAAGCAAAGGGAGCTAGTGGGCCACCTGTCAGCTCAAATCTGGTTCTTGGATGGGCAGGTGGGACCAGTGAGCCTGGACACACACGCGTGGCTGCTACTGCGCTATTCAGACCTTGCTGTGTCCACAGGGACAAGCCTCTGAAAGGGTCCCATCACTGACAAACCCCGGAAGCCCTGTCCGCATACATCACCTCCTCCATGGTGTAGGCAACCAAAGTCTAGTTCCACACGTATGCCTCTTTCTGAGCACTGGGGAAGATCTCCAAATGCAGTGTGTGCTAAGTCACTTCAGTTGTGTCCGACTCTGTGTGACCTGTGGACTGTAGCCCGCCAGGCTCCTCTGTCCTTGGGGATTCTCCAAGCAAGAACACTGGAGTGGGTTGCCACGCCCTCCTCCAGGGGATCTTCCTAACCCAGGGATGGAACCCAGGTCTCTTGGGTCTCCTGCATGGGCAGCTGTGTTCTTTTACCACCTGGGAGGACCAGTGCCTGTCTAGGGGGGGTGGGGGTGGGCTTTTTGTTAAATCCCAGCTGTACCCCAAGCGGCGTGTAGGATCTTAGTTCCATGACCAGGGATGGAACCTACGCTCCCTGCAGTGGAAGCTCAGAGTATTAACCACTGGACCACCAGGGAAGTCCCCTCGAACGGGGCTTTTGGGGAGGTGCTGGAAATGTAACGTTACATTCTAAATTTAACTTGTGTGATTTTGTGCATACTTGTTCTACTTGAAGTTTACTTAAATATCCAGAAGACTGCTTCACCTAACAGGTGCACTCCAGAGTTCCCTGTCTACCAGTGGCTTCGCCCCATGCCCAGGGCTGCCCTCTGATCTTAGTATCTGACGTGAGCTTTCCCTCGGAATCTAGAGTCTCAGCAAACTGCCTCCTGCTCCCCTCTCCTTTGCCACTACCCCAGCCCCTCTTCAGGCCAGCACATGGCCCCTGGCTTCCCTTTCCACCCCCAGTTCACACCCCTCCTGCAGCTCTCAGCCGCTCCCTAGCGAGCACCCAGCCCTGTCCTTCATTGACACACACCGCCATCAGCCCTTAGCTTCTACACCCGCACAGCAGGGCTGCCCCCTGTCCACACACCACAGAAGGAGCCCCTGCTCTCACCAGGATCCGGGAGGCGCGCCAGTGCTGGCCCGGCCAGGTGCTGCTGGGCCCACCTGGTCCTGATGCTGGAGTGGCCTCAGGCCAGCCCGGGTGCCCCCACACCCTCTCACCCAGGGCCCCTTTGCTGTCTGCGGCCCAGCAGAACCCCCAGAGCTCACATGCCCCCCCCCACTCACCACACCTGCCACTGGGCAACTTCCAGTCTTTCCCCTTCTGGGGACCCACGACTGAATTTTCAGGACTAACCAGAAGACTTCCTCAGGTTTGGCCTTCACATCTGCTGGGGCAGACATGTCCAGGACCTGGGCTGGGCACCCCGACCTCCAACCTGGGGCCCCAGAAAAGGCCTCCTCTCTTAGGGGCTGCCCAGGTGGCTCAGTGGGTAAAGAATCTGCCTGCCAAGCAGGAAGACGTGGGTTCCATCCCTGGGTCTGGAAGATCCCCTGGAGAAGGAAATGGCAACCCACTCCAGTATTCTTGCCTGGAGAATTCCAGGGACAGAGAAGCCTCACGGGATACAGTCTGTGGGGTTGCAAACGGTCAGAAACCTCTTAGCCACTAAACAACAAAGCTCGTCTTAGATCCTGTGGCTCCACCTCGCCCCCTGGTGGCTGATCACGACAGCCTGGAGTCGTGAAGAAATGCAGGCTCTTTTGTTTGGACACCATACGGCCTATGCTTTCTGGAAAACCCGTTTAGGCACATGGATCCTCAGAGAACAAGACCAGTAGGATACAAAGCACAGCTAAACGGGGGCATGGCTCCCATGATGGGCAGGAAAGGGCAGGGAAGGGTGATCATGAGGCCTCTCTCCTGGTCAACAGGAAGAAAATGACAATGCCCCATTACAGGGAGGGGGTGCTGGGTACAAAGATGAGGGTGCCCTCTGCAGTGAAATCAACATCAAGAGTGACAGCAATAGTGTCTGGTACCAGCCAGAGTAAAAATCTGCTGAGGTTTTTTTTTTGGCCTAACCCCAAAGCACGCGGGTTCTTAATTCCCTGACCAGGTATTGAACCCAAGCCCCCTGAAGTGGAAACGCAGAGTCTTACCCACTGGGCTGCCAGGGAATTCCCCACTGAGGCATTTCAGGCCACTAGACTCGATAGTTGGAGAAGGCAATGGCACCCCACTCCAGTACTCTTGCCTGGAATATCCCATGGACTGAGGAGCCTGGTAGGCTGCAGTCCATGGGGTCGCTACGAGTCGGACACGATTAAGCGACTTCACTTTCACTTTTCACTTTCACACATTGGAGGAGGCCATGGCAACCCACTCGTGTTCCTGCCTGGAAAATCCCATGGACAGAGGAGCCTGGCGGGCTGCAGTCCATGGGGTCACATGACTGAGCATGCGTGCATGAGGGTGGAGGGAGGTGGGTTGGTAGCAATAAAGTGGTAGAACTAAAAAGAAAAGAGGTGAAAATCGAAAACAGCATTGGGGAATTGTTTGGCAGTGAACAAACTGAAGGCGGTTGTAAAAGGCCTGAGGGAAGACGTCCAGGAACTGGAGAAGCTGTTGACTGAGGTTTTCGCTGTGATTGCCAGGGCTGCAATGATTAACAGGAAAATAGGACTAATTTTGAAACAGCATGTAGGTTTAGGGCGGCTTTGCACATTGACTGCCTACTGAGGGTTCTATGATAGGAAAACGCGTTAAGCTAAGCAGCCAAGCTTACTATCCTATTCCCAGCCTTCCTCACCAGCCACACCAGCCACATCAGGTACAGCAGACAGCGACCTTGACCTTTGACTTCGAGGCAAGCAGACGTAGAAGACTCAGCTGTCAGAGACTTGCCTGCCCTGATGGATTCAGACGGTGGTGAGATGTCATTAGATGAACCATTCCTCTCTGTCCTGCACCCCAGTCTCAGGTACCTTCCTCCCCTGCAACCACCAAGACTGACCCTAACCCACCGTCATCACCACCTCTTAGCCTCTTAGTCTAACTGTCGTACATTATTTCTATTTGATAAACGCCGTGTGATTATCTTATGATTCCTGCCTTTGCTTTATGTTAGTGTCATTTTAATGGTTTTACATGTTATTTGGTATGATTTGGAAGATTATTTTGGGGTATGGGAACACTCAAA